ATGGGCGCAGGCGGCGGCTGCCGGCGCTCGTCATCCTCGGCGCGGAGGAAGAGGAAGGGGCGTTTGACTGCAGGAGCCAGCCGTCCGTTCGCCTTGTCCTCGGCGTAAAGCTACAGGGAGACGGCAGCGCTGACGAGTCCCAGGGCGACCGCTGGCACTGGTCCGCGCTCGGGCTTGCAGGACAGCGGAGCCGAAGGCAAACACAGGGAAACATCTGAAGTTGATGCAACAAATACAGAGCTGAGAAGTAGAGCTACTACACGTGGCCTTACTACTTCACCATCGCCACCTTCCTCAGTCGTTTCTGGCTTCTGAACGTTTGCTTTATTCTTCCTGAACCCTCACATAAGCACAATAAACATCCTCAGGCACCCGAGGGGAGGCTGTTGCTGCTTCTCTGCAGTGAGATGCGTTGAAAGTCCTCAGGAAAGCACACAAAGGAAGACGCTTCCTGTCAAAAACAGAGGACAAGGAGAGCAGTAGCCTGTCCACACAGGCAGAGATGACCTTCCTTCGCCAGGTGCAACGTGAATCCTTCAGTCTCTCATGAAACGACTGTCCAGGAAGCTTGCCTGCACAGAGCCAAAGCACTCACCTCAGGAGCGCAGCAAAAGAGGTCCTAGTCCTAAGAGGACCAATACTGGAAAGATTTAGCATGAGTCTGTGGTTTTGGTCCCTTTTTTTTTTTTTTTGTTATAGCAGAACACAGTATAATTGTGTATAATCTCTTTCCTCTTTCCACACATGATCCCAGAGAGGCTCTCTATACAGATACCCCGTCTCTTGCTCAAACCGACACAAAGTGGCTCCTTTGAGCGGCTGGCTAGGAACAGACCAGACCATCCACTTGACAAGGAGTGGATCCCATCTGAATTTCTTCCTAGCCCAATGGCTTGAGTAGCTTCGATCCAAAGCATCGGAACACACAAACCAGAAGGAAGAAAGTGATCTATTAAACCATGTTTACCAAAGCCATCATCTCAGCCTCAAAGGGAAGAGACTTCACAGAAGGCATCAAAGAGAAGAGGAACCCTAAGGAAGTGGCCGAAGTGGGGGCAAGAGTCCAGAAGTCCCTGACTTTCTGGATTACAATCAACTCTTTTCTAGAGCCAGGTCGCCCTCTTGTAGGGATTTGTTTTCTGCAGCATGCTTTTCTGGGCAAAGACTCTCTTTGGCAAAGCAAACAACTTCATTTCGAAACTGTCTTAGGCATGCTAATGCTGGCCTGCCTGTAAGTCTTGTTATGTTTTTCCTCCAGTTTTGCTTTTCTTATTGCTGAATAGATTATACATTCACTGGTGGGAAAGCAACTGATTCGATGATTTCTTCTCATCACTACCAAGAGAGGTAATGGCTATGTAAGACAGGAATCCACTTGCCTATAGCATCAGATGCCTCATTTATGTTTAGAAGAGTGTTCTCATGCGGGTCAGTCGCATTCTGCAAAGCAGCGGCTAGATGGCACCCGCACGCTTACCAAGCACTCCCAACTGTGCAGAGCGGCACACCGACTAGCACTAGCAGCTTACACAAGTTGGTATTCGCCAGTAGAGCAATTTCTGCTGCTCACTCTGGCAGCAGCGCATCTTCCTTTTAAGTATCTGTGCTCAGCGACATAGGAAACAGATGGGAACTGTCAGAGTTTCAAGAAAATGCCAGAGGAGGTTGCTTCATACAGAAAATGAGACAAAAGTAACGTTTCAAGGCACCTGGGTTTACACTACACACAGTTTCAGCTCAACACTCTACAGTCTGCCCGGGAATAACTATCAGCCTCTTCAGACACTTTCATCCTGAGCACCTCTGAAGTTCAGGATGGGAAACACATTTCTGGGCAGTTCTGCCTTGTCACAAGTAACTACCTGCTCTTTCAGCACAACAAAAGTTTCCCCATCGCAACGGCATGACACAAGGCCTTCTGAAGACGATCGCAGCAAGAAGCCTCTTGAGCTCCAGCTTACAGCACCTTTACTAATTCTGAAATAACTACACAAGATTGCTTAAGTGCCTTTGGCGATGCTGGAGGGGATTCATGGCAGCAGAAGCGTTCTTCTTTCAACCACACAGACCTTGCCCCTCCACATTCCCAAGACATTTGCTGTGGTTGCTCATGATTAATGCTCCTCCCAAAACAGGTCATTTGTTGTGGTTAATCATAATTAAACATCCTTCCCAAGAGCTGGAGATTCTTTCATGGTTGCCACCCCACAAACTCTCGCTGCCTACTCTGATGCCAGCAGATCCTCTACGCCAAAGTTAACATTACTTGTTTGCCAGGTGAAGGCAGTGGCTTCCTATTGCTGTGTAGGCGCTAACAGGCTCCAGGCTGTAACGTCCACCCCACTCAGTCCTGCTAAAACATAATCTGCTTTGAACTTGACTTAACACAACAGCAACCAACCAACTATATCCACCAAGGAGTTGGGTTTCAACTGTCTCAGGGAATAAGTGGAACTAATACTAGCAAATGTCTCTAGTCTAGACACAAGCTAACTCTCATCTACGATAGCCATGACTGATCAGCCCAGGGAGGGGACAGGAAAAATGACAGTCTCCGCAGCCAGCAAAACATGCAGAGAAGGGCTTTCTCAGCTCAGATTTGCACGGGCAGAAGCTGGGCCCCAGCATGGCTGCTGGAAAGACACAGACCTCCCCTTCCCTGGGCATGACACTCTTCCCTCACTACTGCCAGCTACCAAAAACAGTTGTGAAATACACTCTTTGGTCTAGTGGGTAACTAATTCGGAGGAAGAACTTCCGAAACCATAAATATGCAGGTAAGTAGGCAAAGCAGTGACAGGAACTTGACCAATTCTCACTTTTTGTTCATAAGAATCCCACTCCATAACACCATCTGAACAAATTTGACTTGGGCAGCTTTTAGCCAATACATTATAGCTGAAGTAAAACAAAGCAAGTAACACCATCATCTCTCCTGCCAGCACCTCTGACAGATCATTCAGGTCTAAAAGGTTTAAAGATATACAGCGACTGAAGCCTAGGAAGCTCAGCTTCCCACACACTCCTCAGGTCATTTTCCACGTTCTCCCTTTTTCCTCCGAGTGCACTAGATCGACACCCCATCCCTCCCCTCAGCTAGACTGACAACGTGCTGGCAGCCCAAAGACAATACATTCTGTAACAAGCGCCAAAAATCCTACACAACAGTAAGCAGGAGAAACGGTGAATAAAGTGAATTGACTTCAGCTCTGAAGTTGACCCCAAGCTCCGTAATTCAACAATTTGCTCACATGAGCTCAAACAGAAATGCTGTCAGACTGACTTGATGAACAAACTGGATAAGTTTCCCTTGCTCTTATCTTGCATCTCTAGTGAAATCTCTGGCAAGGTAGAGATTAAGCAGTTCCCAGGAGTAGTTCAGGCCCCTGGAAGCAGAAGGAAGATTCCTGTGCTGCTCAGAAGCTGAATTAGTCTCTTATTTTAACTTTCCACCAGGGAATATAAAGATGCACCCTACAAAGCAAACCCAGCCATGCTACAGACTAAACCACTACGCAGTGAAGAGATGATCTATCCAACTGGAGAAGAGAGCTGCTCTTCAGGCTTCACTGGCTAACTGAAGGGGGCAAATTTTCCTGCTAAGAAATAGCTTACTGAAACAATCTGACCTCTTGTAAGAGGGTAGTCAGTCACCCAATCGGTGAAACATCAGAAGCACTAAAAGTGCAACCTAACTATAAGAAAAAGTAACAGCAATAATCTTCTAACAGAGCCTCCGATCCATAACCTAACCAAGGTACCAGAAGGTAACCAGGAACGGAGAAAGACAGAGGCAAGGTACATAGGAATGTCGGATAGGGAAGTGTTATAGGGAGATTTCCTTTACTTTCATGAGCTGCCTTCTTTTCTTCAGTCTCATGCAAGGAGAAAAGGTTTGGCAAGATGCCTTGCTGCATGAGACAGTAACTCCGGTCCCCTCCTGGCCATCCGGAACGGTTAGCAGTAGCACAGCATCCAGTGGACATATAACAGTTACTGTCCTCCATTGTAAGCATAGTCGGCCTTGTTGTGCATGATCAACTTGTTGTCCACAAAGTAAAAGCTGTCTGAGCGAGTCTCGTATGGATTTTCAACCATCAGACGGACTGTGAAAGAGAAAGCTCAATTACATTCAAATACAAAGGCCTGCCACACTCCATTGGACAGGACAGCGTCAAAGGAAAAAGGAGTCTGCCACTCTGCTGGATTTACAAGGCTGATACTCTGCCCTATCCAAGCAAGAGAATCAAACTGCTCTGCTGAGCGCACTTCAAAAGCTCTGCCCTGCCCTTCCTATTCTTCCTATTCACAGTACAAACACTGTCAAAAGCAAACAAACAGAGATGGAGTAGTCTCACACGGACAACCTAGAAACTGTCAGAGCCACCACTGGAGCCCAGCAGCTCTCCCCTGTAAGCATTCAGAAAGGTAGCAATCAGCAAATGGAAGAAAGTGATGACATTCCCTCCACGTACACAGGACACGTAAACTCTGCGCCTCCTCCCCCACCCAGGCAGCCACAGAAGGGCCCACATCCTCCTGCTCTACCCACCCCTTGAGGTCAAGCATACCAGAAACCATGCGTAATTGCAGAGATCTTGCTAGGCTCAAAAAGCACATCCCTCAGAGAAGAGCCAGTCCTGTTCCAGAGCAGGAGGTTCCAGCTCGGACAAGCAAGCGCTGGAGGCAGACACGTGGCTACTGAGAGAACACTTGTTCAGGGTTTTGTTATTTTCTGGACTACGCTGTTAAGCATGCCCTGTGACACTGTGACAGACCAGCCCTTCTTGCAGCCTGCGACTTAATAATACGAGTTGTTTTCAAAGACAATTTGCAGCACAAAGCTGTGACGTAGTCAAGATTGCACACAGCTAAAATCAGAAACCTGTATCTATCTGTTGCTGTCCCTCTTTCCTAGTCACAACCGTTTCTCCATAAGGAGAGAGAGAGAGAGAGAGAGAGGGAGAAAACGAGCCCACGCACGTAAACAAAACACGACTCAGTGTGGTAAAGCAGATACTTACTAAGGTCTTCTGAGAGCTGAGGAAATTCATAGATGTGTTCGCATGTGTTCCTGCTACTGGGGATGCAGAACCCAAAATCAAAGTCAAAGTTCTTCAGTAAGCGATCTCGGAAGTAATGTCTCTCAATCATTCGAAAGTTTGACACTGGCTTTTCTCCCACTGTGAATTCCACTCTGCAGACAAAAAAACCAGGAAAACATACCTAGGACCACCTACCTCTCTTCCTATTGGGAAGGACAGAGCCTCGGACCTGAGGCTACGCGAGAACCCAGCAAATCATTCCAGAAAGAGAGTTTGATGTTTGTACTGTAAGATGGAGTCTCCCTAGTCTCTGACTCAATTCAGTTAGAAACTATCAGGTGACACTTGGAAAAAATCTGGTTTTCTCCTTCTGTGAACTCATACTCACGTTGCACCAACAGTCCGAAGACGGAGAAACGCCGGGGTGAACTGGTAACGAACAAAGCGGCCTGCACTGGCATCTAGCTCACTGTTGTCATCTTCGTCCTCTTCATCTTGCTCTAGAAAATGCAGCAACTCAGAGTTATTCTGCTAACGGCTTACACATACAGCTAACGGGCATAGCAGAACAAGCTGGCTATCACTTGTGCATCAAACATAAAGTTGCCTAAGAATTGGTCTGGGACTCATAGTGGCACTAAGAAATAAACAGCAAATTAAAACGATATGAAAGTCGACCCAGCTTTGGCAGCTCTGGAGCTGAAACCACCTTCTTAGCCTTCCGGGAGGCCAAAGCACATGGAAGAAACTGCAAGGGTAGATTTGCAGTTGACAGCGAGAAGGGAGAGTACTATAATCACTTCACATTTTTATGACATAACTAGGAAGTTTCCCAGCAAAGATAAACTCAGCCCAACACTTAAAGGAGAGGGGTTCAGTCACCAGGACATACTGGAAGACCTTTCAGCTCGGTCTGCATGACTCCTTCATTGCAGCTTCCCAGTCTCAGAGCCCCTCTGCAACGTTAGCGTGATTTACCTGAAGCAGATGGCTTTGCAATTTCAAAAAGCACTGTTCCAGTTTCAAGGTCCCGGATCTTGAACCTGGTAAAGTCAATGTTGTAAATGTTGTCTTCTGGTTTGCATAAATAATCTAGAAGAGAAGAACAACACAGAGCGACATTTCAAAACATCTCTAGGCAGTTTTCAAAGGAATTTCTTTTCTGTTAGTCACAGCCCCACCAAACCCATTCCGCAAGTTGTTTTTCAGAAGTTTCAGGAAAGCGGGACAGGACTGAGCCTGGAGCTAAGCGCCAGGGAGCAAAGCGAGAACGGAAGGGGAACCGAGCAGAAAAGCAGAAACGCACAACCCGGAGAGAACAACTTCGTCTCAAAAGTTGCCGCAAAAGCGCACGCACAACGCCGCCGCCAACAGCAGCGGCTCG